AATGTCGGCTATGATAAATGATGGGAGCGTCCTGACTCACCTAGCAACATCCCACATTGGAACGAGGCAATTGCGTCATCAATCAATGTCGGCTATGATAAATGATGGGAGCGTCCTGACTCACCTAGCAACATCCCACATTGGAACGAGGCAATTGCGTCATCAATCAATGTCGGCTATGATAAATGATGGGAGCGTCCTGACTCACCTAGCAACATCCCACATTTGAACGAGGCAATTGCGTCATTTGATGATAACTGACCATTGTCAATCAATGTCGGCTATGATTAATGATGGGAGCGGTCTGGCTCACCTAGCAACATTGCACATTGGATCGAGGCAATTACGTCATGTAAGTTTATCTATATAAATATCATTTTTTTTTTTTTCACTGTCATCGAAGGAAAGATACAAGGAAAGATACAAGGAAAGATACAAGGAAAGATATGAAGGGAGAGGGAGTAACACGTAAGTCCTGAGTGTTTGGGTTGAAATATGTAGTTTTCATTTGACTTAAGATCAGTTTTTCTGTGCTGACTTTTTTCGTTCGGTTTGTATTTACGCTAAGATGATATCATACGTACTGCATGATTTGGTAGTTATGGTTGTAATGTAAACATAGTCGAGAGTTTTGTTGGTAGCTAGTGGTTGCGGTACAGTGATATCAACCTAATTTATTATTGCTTAAGCTACACCTAAGTACTATCAATATTTTTTTATTGTGGTTCTCAGGAAACTGGTAAATCCATATCACAATGCACCTGTCCATGTACACTGCTCAGGTAGCCTTTGCCAGCTGCCTGGTCTTGCTTTCCTTCCTTGGCAACGTTTCTTTGGTAGTCATTTTCAAGCTATCATCGAAAAAACTAATATGCCCATTCTCTGTCAGTAGTATAATATTTGACACAATGGTAGTTCTGAGTGGTCCGTTCATGTTTGTTTTATCCATCATCTCCAAACAATCCTGGTTTACTGAAGACTCCAAGGTCTGTTACGCTGTTGAGATTTGGCAAAGCTACTCTATTTCTGGTTCTTTGTTGGCATGGATGCTCCTTGGTTGCAAACACAGAAAAATAACAACTGAGACCGCGGTGCAGCCAAAGTATTGGACACGCACCTCAATTCTATGTTCGTGGATTGTTCCCATAGTCCCCTGCTGTTACACTTTATTTTTGAGAAGTGCGAAAAATGAGCGAATTCCATGGAGCATTAACTGTCTAACATCCACAGATGCTGCCCAACAAGTTTATCTGAACCATCCAATTTTGGACGCAGTCAATATCTTTCTAGCAGTTTCCATTTGTACAGTGACTGCAAGACTTGCTTATTTAGGTCGAAAAGTCAGTCGCAGGAAGTACGAAGTGCACTTTGAATGGAAACGACACAAACAGTTCATTCGTGTAAACAGTCCAGAGTGTTCCACAGTTAATTTTTCTGAATCATCAAGCTTCGGAAGTATGGACAGGCGGTACTCAATTGCAAGCAGCAACTCTTTGAACACGAAAGTATCCTTCGTAATTCCAACGAAGCATTTTATACCACYTATGAGAAAKCAGCAGAATTATTCAACTACAACTGAGAATAACGAGGTTTTTGGCGAAGAAACTGCAAAGAAGATACCAGAAGAYATGGATCAGGACATTGATRTGCAGCCAAGATGCCGCCATAATGCTAACTCGTCAATTACAGAAAACCCTCCAAATGAATTCACAGTACAGACGCCCTCCGAGCCACAAAGCCCTGAAATTCAACGTAATGATGAAATGGACAATTCGAAGAAAGAGCATTTTCTAGGTTGKGAACACGGAATTGTGGGGTCCCCACTATCTGTCRGTGACATGAGACAATATGCAAGCCCGAGAATGTCTCCAGTTTACGMYTCGCCTACAAACACCCTGAGTTTCCACGATATAAAAAAGCTTAACACCACCAAGTGGTTGTTCACTAATYCACGTTCGCTGGARTTCGAGAAGACGGACCGTGAATCTCAAGATATCAGGTGCCTTATTTTAGTTACAGCGTGCTTATCGCTTATTGGCTGGCTTTGGTTGGGCGTGTCGTTTGCTACGATGAATGCATTTGATGGCATTCCCGAGGAGCTTTGGTTAACAAGTACTTGGATGATTTATCTTAGGTTCCCATTCTCCGCCTTTCTCTTCACGGCTCATTTTGCTGAGGAGTGGCTGTTAATGTCTAGAGCAGCATGGTTTCGACTGGGAAAGACGGCACCATTTGAGCTGTCAACTGACATCGAAAATTCTTTAAAAGTTGCTGATCCAAGAGCAGTCGAACTGAAAAAGCTGTCTATTTTTGTACGTTAACTTAGAATGTGAGGTGATCGATCGCGTAGTACTAAACAAATGTAAATAGAGTGTTATGTAGGGGACATTATATTCTTGGACTATTACAACGCCGTATTTAATAGTATTCTCCACGGTTCCCTGCGCCATCTTGAAAGGTAGCCGTGCCTTTGCATCGAAGCGAGACGAGCGTTGAGCGTGAAAAAACTTCTTTCTCACCTACAGACAATTATTCACAGGTATCTATCATTGCACACTCAACGGTTGTCTCGCTTCGATGCAAAGACAGTTCGATTCCTGATCCAAAATCCCTAGTAATTTGGCCTTGTAAGCTGGTTCTCTCTCTTGATCTAATAGGGTTTCTCCATGTTAAGCTATGTTACGGCTGATTATGTGCCCTGCATTCATATCAAGCTCCATTCCGACGCAAAATACTTAGTAGAACGGCAAGCACTTTTTTCGAGCGTTTGTTCATCGATATGACTATAAAATCTAGTAAGAATTCAAAAATGATGATGATGAAATAGAAAGCAGTGGGTGTAAAGCTATCAAAAGTCTACTGTAATGAAATGAAATAAGATTTATTAGTTCGTAACGGCTCAAAGGGGACTGGGGAGGAAACCAATCTCCTCAGAGCTGCTATTTGGTTATTTTAAATCTRCAAATATAACTGGTTTTTAATTCCTGTACAATGTCTGTGATGCTTGCAAAACTCTCCTAGTTAAACATCTGATACATGGGTACACTCTAATTCTCATGTGTTTTAGTGGTTAACAAACTCAATAATTARAAATAATTGATTATTAATTATTAGGAATCATTATTGAGATGTTTGCAAGCAATGATAAAAAAATTTAAGAATAAATATTCGTAAGTTATGGCCTTTTTGAAACCCCATAATTTTGTCATAATACAATATTCAAATTAGATGAGGACTTCCCTGAATGGCCATCGCACCTACATAATGATTGAGTTAAATAATAAATAGATAAAATTGTTGTCTCTACCGTTGCACCATACCAWATATCATACATAAGTTATATATATTTGTGTTGGTAATGTAAAAAATTATCGAATCTCTACAAACATAATCTTGTGTTGTCGATATGTTAACCGATAGACGAGAAATACATTCAGGTTCATTTATCAATGTCAGACGAAATTTTGAGAATCCCTCGTCCCTTGCAAAGCACCTTAATGCGTGACCTTTTGCGAGTTTCTTCCATAGCCGTCCGCCATCTTGAATTAATCCTCCGCCATTTTGGCTTATTAAAACGACAAAAAAATCCAAGRTGGCAGACGTTTATCGAGAAAACTCGAAAAAAAATTGACAAAAACATTTCAATTTATGCATGGACCAAGTCATAAGAAAACGTTCGATCTTATATTGTAATTACAATGTAACTGATAGTAATATAGAAAAAGACCTGGTAAATTCATCAATTAAAATCTGCCATTAAGGATAGTGAGAAACCAACGTTTCGTTTTTATTTGTGGGATAACTTACTCAWACGTGACACTTTGATCGAGAAACTAAGAAAAGATCAGGTTACTGGAAAAGGAAAAAGAAAATGTCTGTGGGAAACTGCTCCCTTTCTTGTCCTCACAGGACGATTTTAAGCTAGGATTGTTGCWCGTGAATTGAGGTTTGAAACAATGGTAGCTTAGTATGACGGACCATTTTCACGGTACTCTGGAAAGTACATATCAAGTCGCGTTCTGCCGCAAATTGCTACGGAGAATCAACTTACGGGGAAAGGAAGTGAAAACCAAACAAACCGAAATCTCTCTGATCGATCTTTCAGTCCTTAGAATTAAATTTGGCATAGTGTTCCGTAGATCAAAGTGATGCCTTTTAACGAATTATTTGAAGGCAAGAATCACTTTGATTAGTACGCTACTGTATTGAGAATTCCATATGTTATGATTGAGGATAAATCTATCATGTTAATTCTTGCGACCCGATGGTAGCACATCACCCATATTCAGGGGGGGGGGGTTTAGAATGGTCTGCGCGCATTTCAATCTTGCCTAGTGAGTGATGAATTTTCTGAGCATGATCAGTTTTCAAACTTGTGAGTAGTGACCATTTAAGAAAACATCTAAATTAGAATTTGAGTACACGAGCAAGCGCATGCGCACAATTTTATAGGACCATTCCATACCCCTGTTGTATGCAGTTCTTTCAATGCAGTCTATAATGACCTGAGGGACATAACTGATCCATCATATCTTCCATGKGATCACGAGCTCCGGTTTCTTCACACAGCTGATTCCTTCACCGTATTCTGTTTTCTGTCGCTTGCTTCATTCGACTCGGAGTGTCAGCTGCAATCTTTTTAATCAAAGGACTTATCTTGCTCATCATTTCGGTAAATCTCTTGTCGATGTATTCCATCTTTCTCTCTAATTTGTCTAGTTTGGTCTCTAGGGCGTTTAGGTTGTAAAGATTATTGCAAGCTGACATTGTAGATCGTAAGTGTTGCATCTCTATATTATTTGGTTCTAGAGGAGTGGTGTTTGTAGACAAGTTTATATACTCATCCTAAAATGAAAGAAAAACACATACTATGAATCAAAAGAAGTGTAAATAAAGACGACAATGAAGTCTGGTGTGGTTTGAAMGAAAGTATGGGAGTCAGGCTGCAACACCAGTCGTACAGCCTCACGCATGCTCAGTAAATATAGATGGAGTAGTTTTTTCAAACTTTCTTTTAGTTATTTAGCAAGTCAGCCAAGTTTTATCTATCTAAATAATAGTCTTTACCTGTTCAAAATTACCGAGATTGTACGCCAGTTTAAGATGATGAGTGAATTGTTCTCTGAAGTCTGGGTAAACCTTGAGAACAGCTAGAAGATCCTGCCAATCGACAACATGTATTTGACAGTACGTTTGAACTAGAACACTCGCATTGGCTTTTGCTGTTTGGATGCTAGTTGGTGAGTTATATTCACAACTTATTACATCACCTTTTCCTGAAAAAAGAAGAGAAACTGCATCAAACTTTATAAATGTATCCAATGCTGCAATGTCTCTGTTGTGTTGCGTTTGCCGGTTCAATTCATCAATGTAACTGCTAAGGAACTGTTTATGTTTTAACCAAATAACGACAATGGTATGCTCATTGACAGTTGTAGTGTAACGTTTAAAGGTCGAATTAGACGGCACAACTCAACCATTGCACACAACCTACGAATGTCATCCTTACAACATAGCTCTACAACTGTTGTAAAGATACAATTGCTTTACAGCCCCACTACAGTCGCACTATGTTGCATTGAAGACTTAGCACAGGTTGTATGGGTGGTTGTAAGTAAAAACTGTGCCGTCTAATTGGGCTTTCTTTAAGATGCGTTAAGATGCAGCTGGATTTTACACGTGCGCACTGACAATATTGTTTCCAGCCCATTTTTGGGTGGCCCGTCCACTTTTGGATCAATCAAGCTACTTACCAAGAACTAATAGAATTTTTCCATCATTGCTAACTTCAACAAAGCCCTTGGCAATGAAATACAGTTTTTTGACCTCGTCTCCTTGTTTTATCAGATATTGACCAGGCAGTAGTCTTCTGATGTCAAATCGTCTTGCAAGAGCACGTAGACATCCTTCACTTGCACCACGGAAAGCCGTGCATTCAGCGAATAGTTTCTTGTGTAAATGAACGCATATATCAGCTTGGAGAGAATCGGGAAACCGTTTAAGAACCTGAAAAAAAGATCACTGCATTTTAGCATAATTTTTCTAGCAACCTCGTTCCCAGGCCCTTATCTTTTATCCCAAAGCGAAGTGATAAGGACCTGGGAAGGAGGTTGATTCACAAGTCAGCCGCCGTTATGTAATGGTAGTAACACTGATTACAACAAGTACCGTATCGATATCAACTCCCTTGGTATATGACCACTCGTGTCTAAAGTACTCTTCTAGGTCGTCTCGAAGATGTGGCGGGATTTTGTAGAATTGTATAAAATCCCGTACAATTCTAAGGTTTCTATGGTGACGTGACGTCTGTGAGTAAAGTCGCTGGATGATGGCTGTCATGTTTCCAAATATGGATGCGTACATAAGAGCTGGAATGAAATGATGATTTCGAGTTAGCATCGCTCAATATTGATTACAAACTGTTATTTTCAAGGAGCTGATTTAACAATTGAAGAGGAGTAAAAYACAAGGTACCAGACAACTCTTTTTCTGGAGTAGATTTAACTCCAACAGGTTTAACTGCACCAGCTAGCTAGTGGAGTACTWTTGGCTCCTATTTTTAAAAAGAGCAATTTTGAGCCCCTTTGAACTCTCTTGCCAACTTGATTTATACCTCTGGAGTAAAAGCTACTCGAATTGTAGAGTAGATTTAATTCCATTTAATTCTCTTTTAAGTTACTCCACCAGGTAGAGTTATTTGAGTTAGAGTTGACTCTCTTTGAACGACCACTCTCGTAAGCGACCATATCCCTTTTGCGACCACCTTTTAAATTTCCCGTTATAATTGTTTCCCATATAAACTCTGTAAAGGAAACTTTCTCGTAAGCGACCATCTCTCGTAAGCGACCRCTTTTTCCTGATCCCGAGGTGGTCGCTTACGAGAGAGTTGACTGTATTCCAACAGTGCAAACGGTTATTTTGTCCATACTCACCGCCAACAATCATTACACATATAGAAAACAGTTTCTCAGCGTTAGTATTGGGCGATACGTTTCCAAATCCGACACTTGATAAGCTCGTCATGGTGAAGTACAATGCTGTAATGTATCGAGTTTCAACGCTTGGGTTCCCTGTTGTAGAGCCATTGTTCACAGAGCCGGCATCGATCTGCTTAGAGAGCCTTGCAACCCAGCCATCACTAGAAGTCTGATTATCGCCAATGACATGCCAGATACATGCTAACCAATGAGCGACGAGGAGGAAAAGGCAAGTAAGAAGAATGATGACAGCCTGCCCATACTCCGAGTATCGGTCCAAGGTGCGTACGACGCGAACAAGGCGTAACAAGCGAGCTGTTTTCAGTAGACCCATCAAGGTGGTGGCCTAGAAAACATATTGAAATTAAGACAAATATAAAATATCATATCAAAAATTGGACACCCAACCGCTACAATAACTGCTATGCATTGCTATAACCGCTTCACATACCGTTCTTTGCAAAGCATTCAAGACAAGGTGACTTACCCCTTTCTTTTCTGTGTAAATCATGAATTCAAATGGAATCGCAGACAGTAGATCAATCACAAACCAGCTTTTAAAATAATGCAATGCTATCTTCTTAGGTTGAGTAACGAGCTCATCCGTGCCTTCATTGATGTATGTGGACCGGAAGTTGATTGGTATATCGACAATAAACAACAAGTCAACACACAGATTACACACCGCCAGGGGGGAGCCTGCCAGCATTGCAGCAAATCGACCACTGCCATGCACTTCTGTACGTATTTGTTCTGGTAACAAGAATGCTACTGAGTAAGGAATCTCGATGGCTGTGTAGATGACTAAAAAAAGTATAAACCAGTCCCAAACCGCCTTGAAGATCGCATCATGGCGAATGATACAATTACCCAGTTTTTTGGTTGAAGCGCTGTTGCCTAGTGAAGTCATGACAACCTAGAAATGCATGGATACGACAGATCAGAGCAAATCTTCATATCATATTCACTCGGAAACTGTATGTTTGCATGAAAGCCATACCATAAAACAACCCCCCAAAAAAATCCGTTTGACAATTTAAATGCATCGAACTAGATGAGTGCATTATGATGTAATTCAATTATATATAAACCTCGCATTAAGACTTTAAAATCATTATAGATCAATTAGAGATTTTAGAAACAAAACCAAAATACATGRAAAGTAGATGGCTGAACCGTAAAAAAGACGATAAAATAACATTTTTTCTATCAATCATTTTTTTAAATGGATTTTAATTTGGGGCTTTTCCAAGAAGCTGTATTCAGTTCAGACTTGCTCTTAAATGAACTATAATGCTATCATTATTTGGCAGCATTATTTTTTTTTCGTTTTTTTTTTCCTTTTCAATTTCAGTGCACAGAAAATTRAAACCGGCTATAACCAGAGCAAAATGCTTTAGCATTCGGAAATGAAATGGAAATCGAGTATACGTTTCAAGTACGTATAAGTTCAATTCGAAGCAGTTATTGTACCTTTGAAATCCTCTTACTGATTATTATTATCTCTGCCGTGCGTGTTACTTGGCAATAAAACGTTTCAGTTGCTTGATCTGACTCAGTGTAAATTTACTCCATCCTGCTGATTTCACTTCTAGCGGGTAGAGACGTTTTTTTAAACGTTTAGAAATTGCTTCCTTGTCATTAAGTGACTACATCGAACACTAAGGAGTTACATTTGAAAATCGAGCTTTTAAAATTACGAGGACAACAAACAAAGTAAATATATAAAACAATAATRACTGTGACSGRGAGCAATCAACTGTCACTCCATATGTCCTTGRTCGCTAAGAAAGAATAAAAATCTTTTGTAATCAAATATACCAGAGTTCGTATCATAATAGACAAAGAACAACCATTAGCGAAATTGCACTTTGCCAACAGAGCGCGCCGCCTCTTCCTTATAATACGCATTTTGTTAAAAAGTACCAAATGGTTGCTTTTTATTATGATGGCATGCGTGGTTTTAGCCCTCTAAAAATCATAGCTACCAAATCTCCATTAGACAATTATATCGCTTTCATTTCTAAATGTTTTATTATTACTTATACAATATTCCTWCATCACAGCTGTCGAAGCAAGATGTTGTATYAGAAGAAGCAAAATCCTCGTTYCCAGGAGCATCTCGGCYGACACCGAKCAATAAAGCATGATGGGTAATCATAGTCCTTGMATTTAATTTAAACCTKTRTATAATACTCCGCAAAATCTGCTTTCGTCGTTTCTTTGCGACTTACTTTTCAAAATGGTTTCGCTGAACACTGCTTATTCCAGTGTCGGATGAAGAAAGCTGCTTTCTGATTGGCTACTGATTGGCGCTTTTTAGTTGTACCGTTTGTTTTTGACTGTTTTTTAACCAAAAAAAGATTGTATTTGACGAATAAAAAGTGTCACTGCCAGCTTTRTATTTGTCAGTTGTGTTCCCATTATATTTAATTATTTCGTCAAACTGAAGTTAACATCCATGCATGAACATCATTTTTAAGTGCATCGAGACTTTTAAGTTTAAAACGCAAACAATTACAGCCATGTCGGCAAACATGCAATTGAAGCACTTTAYATCTCTAAAGACATTCAACGCTATTAATTRTCACTAGCAAAACACGATGAATTTCCTCAACAGAAACTAAATAAATATTACAAAATAACTGATTAGCCTAGTTGAAAACCAAGRAATAAGAATCGAACTTCAGGCAAACATGTATTATTCTTGGATCAGTACAACTTTGTTTTGTTTTTAAACATTATTTTGATATGACAAAATGCTTTTAAACAGTAAAAACATTGAAATACAAAGAAAAAAATGGATAACAATTAATAGAAGAGATGAATAACAGTGTGCTAGTTAGTTAGAAGCAGAATTAACCAGGCATTTTGTAAATATGTAAGAATTGCTTTTTGTTCGATGAAAACAGCTGCATAGGTAAGCTGAGAAAGCCATCAAATACGACATTCAATCGCTGGAAACAACCTACRCTTCGTAAACAATCACCAGTATTCTTCATGCTCTCTTCCTGAATGCAATTAATCGTGTCTACTCTCTCCTGGATTAGTTTTATTTGAAMCAACAAAACACCAATTAAAAACTTCAGTTCAGCATCACATGTTGTGTTTTTTTTTTCAATTCAATGCATATTAGGATATTGTACTATCTTTTCCAATCAATTTTATTTGGTCATTTATTCAGCTCATTTTTAATAAGCACATGCGTCGATTATTTTAAACACACTTGCAGAATCTAAGCTCTTATCAGAGATATTTATATTTCACCAAAAGTTTTAACATATGTTCGATAAAGTGTAAATTATCTTTAATTGCTTGAAATCGAATTGAAATGACAGAAAAGTGGAGAGGAAATTTATACGAACTGACATTGTTTTTGCTAAAAAGCTATAAATGATTTTCAGTTGATTTTCGCGAGTTAATCATAAAATGATAATGTGAACAGAGAAATTCAAAATTTTTCTTTCAATAGGATTAAAATTTTAAGTTTTATACCAATTTTTTGTAATAGTCAGAAGGCGATTTCGCCCTTTTGAATCAAGTATTACCGGATTGTAGCGGAAATGCTAGTAAAATTATGACTACACAATATTTTTTCTTGCCTGGTTCTTGATTTAGTCCCTGTCTATATGGAACGTTAAATAGCTAAGAACTATGAAGTTTGCTATCTGTTTTACAGAGTAAATACAATACTTCACGGCAAGCCGACGGCGACCCGCTCTATTTAATGATATTTTTTGTAAACTGTCAGCACCATGGCAGGAAGCAGCAAATACTYAGTTGATCGCACAAGCGGAATCCCATCTCTTTCCTTCATTTCAGTTTAGATAAGAAAAAAAAAATGGTAATTATAAACGTTTGGCAATTCGGCCATATGTATTTTGGCCGAAAAAAAATTGTAGCTTTACCCATATTGTGTAGTTTACTGACCTGCGCGCGTTAAGGTTTCGAACGAAAAAGTATTAAACGAGAATTTCAAAATAGATAAAGATTAACCAGAATTTAAAGCATTTCATCGCCGTTTAAATATTGCTATGAGCACAACGAGTTAAAACTGCAAACTACTGTTCATTCAATTTGAAATCAACTCAAAAATCAATTGTAAGAATTAAACATTAATGCGAGCGGTTTTGATTGAATATTTTAAAAATCGTAAACATATTTAGCATCCAGTAATTTGTTTTCTATGAAGAATAACATGATTGTGTATGAAATAATGAAATATTGTCAGTCAAAACACTCAAATTGACCTCGTACATCGCCTCTGCAAAGAGACGATGTCATAATGGGAAAGAAAGAGCAGTCATATGTATAACGAACGATGAAACACATACCAATCCTTTTATACCAAGATGAGGGTTGTAGGAGGGATTCCTCAGTTTAAAACTGTGGCGATCAACTCGAGGCATGGTTGATTCTAGTTGTTATGGTTTTATACCATGTTCGGCTGTATTAATGTGTTTTGTGTCGTCGATTATCAATTGCCCCTTGCACCTGCAGCGGTACTATTCARCGTGRAAAGGTCTAAGAACATCTCTCTTAGATGACGCGGCATCAGTTCCCAAATCTGAATAATTTCCACTTTTAAGGATTGGAGTATTCAACAATGAGCAATGACCACTTTATCGAAGTGTGATTGCAATGACGCTGTACAGAAACCTTACATATTTTTGAACCAATAAGATGGCGGAAAAGTCCTCAACCGGGGGGCTAAGCATATATGCTATTCTGATAAACTTATTGATATTTATAACTCTTCAATATCTGAGTAGAAGGAATAGAAATGCTGATGGTATAGRAAAGAAGCCTTTACTAAAAATGTCCGTATTGAATCGAGTATTTTCGGAGGAATAAATGGGAACTCTATCTCACCTTTTTTTCATTCCCTAATAAACAGTCATTCTCTTTAAGTTAAGTATAATACACTATCAATATAGTCAATACAATCTTTGCCTTTATAATGAAATTAACTGAAGGCAGTTATATTCAAAACTTTTAGTATGACAGCTTAAAAGGCAAGACGGTTCTAACTTCTGTTTGCGACAATTCTCATCATGAGCATGCGCTTAGCTTTAGGGGTGATCTCCTAGGCAAATCATTCTTATCCGTCACAGGAGACGGCTTGTTTYTTCGTTGAAGTAGATTGGCTGCTCTTTTATAAGAGGCTTACTATAGAAGACAAGCCATATTCGATATCTTGATAGTGACACAGGAATCTCTCAATCGGTTGCCATTATGTCACACTTCACGAAACGCGTCCTTTTTTGTACAAAAACAAACGCTAAAAAAGTTTCTTTTTTGAATGATATGAAAATMTTTTATCTAGCTATCTGTTTTGAACAAAAATTGTCAGAAAGCGGCGAATTGTTGGTTAGCATTCAAGCGAGCCCTTTGGGAATTGTCGGTAAAGTGAATTTGTGCGTCAGTTGTTTGATCTCACGTGTCATGTCCGGACAGCAAACTGTCACCATCTGGAAATGTTCCTGTTTTTCAATTATAATCAATGCCCAAAAAACCGAGGAGAAAAAAGAAAGAAAAATATGAAAACAAAGTCAATATTTTGAAAGCAATCTTTTAAGTATGTTTAATCCTTGAAATTTGTCGATAAAAATCTTGAAACTGTACATTCAAAAGCGGCTATAAATACGTATTGAACTACACAATAACGCTTCCATGCTCGAACTGGAGTCCATAAAGCTTATCCACTTAGATATCGAGAATCCTCTGATTGATGGGCGTCAATCAAATAYATGTAAATACTTCGGTGTATTAAGATAAGCCTTTTCGTAGTAAGAAACTTGACTTTTTCCGACAAAATAAACAAAATCTTGGCATGTTTGCTCATTCGGTATTAATTAACAGTTTAAAATATTGAATATTAGGTWAATTTGATTTAAAACAGAAGCTATATGGAAATACTAAGATCCGAAAATCATTATTGAAAAAAAAAAAAAAAAACCCGTAGTAATCTATATTATTTTGATTCAGTTTCGAAGCAAAACGAGTTAACCTTTTCTGTTTCTGTCTATTTTTTTATTTTAAACAGTAAATAGATCAGATTTTTTCTTGAATTCTCTTCAATTCTAAAATGTCATGGAAATATAGATTTAATTTGCATAGTATGCTAACATCCAATAATATGGTTTTAAAGATTTAAATTCAATATGGCTGCCTTAATGGCAAAAATAGCTAATTGTGATATTTTCCTCTTTTATTATCTTGTTTGTTTTTTGTGCTTTTAATATGATAAAAAAATAGATAAGCCWATGAATAAACATTAGATATTTAGGCATTATTTGACTGGTGCGCCAAGGGTAATTTCATGTAATTTTCGCTCTTTTTTAATGAATAATTTTGCAAGTTATTCAAACTCGTTTAATTCAAACACATTCTGTTGATTCTGATCTATCACAAATAAAATATAAATGATGTATTTCTAGATCTAARATACTAAAAAATGCAAAATGTAATRGTCATTTTACAGGTAAAAACTCGTAAAACAAAATCAGGCACAAGAAAACAATTAGAGTGCATTACGATATTAGTTTTATATCTATTCATCTTTTTACCTTAACTCTAAAAAGGCAAATATAAAAATAAAAAATATAAAAATATAAAACAAATATAAAAAAAAATATAAAACAAATATAAAACTAAAGAAATTTATAGTGTCAATAATAAAGCATAACAATGATAATTTTTATCAACAGAAACGACAAATAAAGTTTGATGCCTTTCAATTTCTATTCTACGATGATTATTGAGTCTAGCTCATTTATTAAGCAAAACTGTTGTCTTTTTYCATTCGCATTTGATGATGGTCTTCGTAATAATGATCGCACACCATGTGGTCAAAGGGCGGAATAAAGTGGCTTTGATGACTCAAGCCCGMCGCATTTAGCGGTAATAGCGCGGCAATTTAGGACGAGTAAAATTACTATTAAGCTATCATTGTAACAAAGCAAGCCAGCTTTCGCCCCCAAGGTCGAGGCAATCTCCAAATACAGCCTTCCGCGCCTAAAAAAAATACAACTATCAATCGAATGAATTAATATTTTGTGAATGAGAAAAAGAAATGAAATTCAATAGAGGTAATTTATAAGGAATGAGAAAAAAGAGTAAATGAAATGGAAAAGATTTCTGAAACTGAAGTTTTATTCTCATTTATTTTTATTTCATTTTTATTTGTGCCTTTTATATAGCATCTTAACGCGATTCTTATATAAATACTAGGTATAGATCCTTACATAAAAAAGTAAATAAATAAGATAAATAATTTAAATAAAAAAAACAAATGAATAACTAGAAGTAAATACATCAGAATAAAGAAATACAGGAATAGATGAAAGGATGGAAGGGTGAATGAATGAATCGAGACTGGAAAGAGGAAATTATTTTCAGAAACATATTCGACATCTGGTTCACAATTATGACTCATTCTTCGTACGTCTGTCTTTAACATTAGTAAGTAACATTACCTTCGCATGTGAGATGAAGGTCATCKGAGTRAATTTCATGAAGTTRGTTGRTTGAAATACGACTTTGGCAAATATGATAAATTTTAGTGCCAGCTTGCCGAACTACTATTTMTGTTTCTCTGCAYTTTGACTATGTTTATAAGTGGTATGGAGGTTTTTGGAAACASTGTGTTCACTTTACTTGGATACATTAATATTATCCTATTATTTATWTGAACATAAATATTCGGCTCATGAAATGTATATGCTCTTGAGGATATCTTTAATAAAAAGTCGATATTTACAAAACGGCGTCCAGTTTGTCTACCTAATTCTTCTATATTCCTAAGTCTAGTGAAGATATTATAATATTGTAAGTTTTCTAATGCATTAATCTCAATGAAATTGGAATRAAATTCTGTATGTGTGATTTCAAGTTCTTTTTAAAAGTTTTTGTCTTAATACCATGAATTTCCTGGCCTTTCGTCAGCYGGCTTCRAGTGCCGAACGAAATGCTTTACAYAAAGGCCRGAATAACGACTAGAATGCGTGCAAAGAGCTACCTTAYGACGTAATTYATGTATCCGAAATGTTTCTCKTGYAGTTTAKCGTCCTCGAAAGCATTGYATGGCGTGCAACGGGACACGCAAGCATCTCAAAAGTAACTCGAATGTAATAAAATTCGTAGAACTGTTTTAGTGTTTGTTGTAATGATCATAATGATGAAATTAATTATAGATGCAAGGAAGTAGTCATTTCATTCAAACACATGTAATATCTTTTGAATGGTATTAATAATGTTCATCAGATTCAATCTGTGAATGCGCTGACCACCACGTGTTGCCCCGCCCTGTGAATTGTCAACCCCGCGTGTTGCCTGGCACATYCAAGAGGTTAGACGCTAGTAGTTCGTGTTCCAATAGAGGTTTCGCGTTCTGTTTCATTTAAAAATTCCTGTCTATTCTTGAGTACKTCCATTAATTGTCCCAGAGTGTCGTTAAATCCTTTTTCCATATTCATAAGTCTTTCTTCAATATTGTTTAATTTATTTTCCATGCGTTTTATTTGATCGTTTTGTGTTTGTGTCTTTGTACGAAGTGGTCGATCTAAAATAACTGTAGGTACGTGSGTGTCGTGGTTWAGAACTATTTCAGACGAGTAGCAGCGTACAGTCGAATGTCCCTGCAGTCTTCCATTGTTCAACTGAGCTTCTTCACTAGAGTTTTTAGGGCTACAAGGTTGTAACGTTGAACGAGCGTTCGACAGACGCTTTACTCTTGGCACAGAAGGATTGTCCGTCAAAAAAATTTCATCATCCTGTCAAAAAATAATACCATTCATTAAATACAATATGAAAAGTTTTATGAGTAGTATTTTGACTTCCGGTATCCTAGACATTCGCGCGCTGTGATTGGCTAACGCGCGGTCCGGTTTTTCACGATCTGCCCGGACCACGGTTTTCTGCAACTAGGTTGCGAGCAAAATTTCAGAAAATTCAAATAAAATAAAAATGTTCTTTACCAGCTATAGGTCGATCCGTATAGGAAAACACTGCGCTTGGTCTTTTATGCACTGTCAAGACCTCGGGCAGTGTTTTCCTATACGCCGACCTCCCAGCCGGTAAATAACATATATATATTTTTACTGGCTTACCTCGTTGGGATCCCCAAGATTGTATGCTAGCTCAATCTCATTCAAGAAATTATCTCTAAATTTTGGATAAGCTTTAAGGACAACTAGAAGATCCTTCCAAGGTATGTGGTGTATCTCGGTATGTGATTGGATAAGAAGACTAGCGTTAGCTTTAGGTAGATATGTATGACTGAGTGTCCCGTAATCACAGCTGATCGTGTCTCCTCGACCTATAACAAAACAAAAGAAAGGTTCAACTCTACTTTTGCTGTATGCATTAATTACTTCTTACTGTTTGAAAAAAACTATTTACATCAGAATCAGACAAAAAACATCCTTCGCTATTCCATGCGCCAGCCTTGAAGGTAGTCGTGCCCTTACATCGAAGCATTATATTCTTATAGGCCCGTGTGATTTTTGCTGAGCGCCGGATTCTCCTGGCGAACGTCGCGCGACCATCGCCTGAGTTTCGAACAAGCTTGTAAATTTTGGCCTCAACTTCGCAGCGATTTTCTATCACCGCAACAATCGCATAGTTAGCAGGGCTGTTTACAGGTACGATTTTAGTTGCGCGATAGCAAAGTGGCGATTATAGCAAGTGTAAACGGGCCTTATCATTCCTGTGATTATGACTGTGATTATGATTACATAGCTGTGTATTCTATTATCATAACTGGATAYTTTACCTAATGTGGAGATAGTGACACCATCTTTAACCACTTGTATGCTGCCTTTGACAATAAAAAACAAAGATGTAACCTCGTCTCCTTGTTTGATGAGRTAATGTCCAGGAAGAAAATGACGCATGCTAAAACGAATCGATAATGCACGAAGACATCCTTCCTCAGCAYTCGCAAAGGCTGAACACTCATCAAATAACTTCTTGTGAAGATGATGGCAGATATCAGCCCTTAAACACTCTGGAAACCGATTAAGAACCTGAAAAGATTTGAAATTATACGATATTAGAGTTAACCATATAAATACAGTATTAATCCGGCATTTCCATTGTCCAGTTGGAAAGCCCTAAAAAACAATAACAARCTATAATTTCAATTACTATATATCTACTTATATTATAAAATTCCAAAAATGAGGGTCATGTGACCATTTTTTTCGCACTATTTGTTAAAATTGCGGTAAGGCCTAACACATGATGAGGATTAGGATTGTYGCYTTAGGTTTAGGGTTGAGATTTGGCTTAGGGTTAGACTCGTGCTAGGGCCGTTACTTGTGGCTAGGGTTAGTCAAAAATGGAAAACACGATATATGCATGCCGTTGTTATTTTTACGTCTTTACAACTGGATAACCTTGACAATTTAGATTATGCATCGTCTAATTAAAACATAATTTCTGTATCTTACGTTTTCTAGATCAACGCCTTTAGTATACGTCCATTCGTGACGGAAATATTCCTCGAGATCCTCTCGTAAAGCTGTCGGGATCTTGTGAAACTTCGAGAACTCCTCGACAAGCCGCAAATCCCTGTGAAAYCGTGAAGTCCTGGAATAGAGTCTTTGAATGATCGCAGTCATATTACCAAATACGGCGGCGTACATTAGAGCTAGAAGAAATATGAACTAGATTGAGTAACTGATTTACACTCTACAGAGGCATCCCAAAAAAGCACAGCTGTCCCAACTTACCTCCAGCTATCATAACGCACACAGAAAAGATCTTCTCATTGTTTGTATTAGGAGCAATGTTTCCAAATCCAACAGTCGTTATACTTGTTAAGCAGAAATATAGCGCGGTGACATAACGATCGCCAACAGTTAGACCCATGTTTGGTGATGATGAATTGCGACCGTATTCATCCGCTAGTTTAATTATCCATCCGTTTTCTAAGTCCAGTTCAGAATCACCAATAAAATGCCATATACAAGCTAGCCAATGAGCGCTGAGCATGAATGAGCACGTTAATAGAATAACTACCGCAAGACCGTACTCTGAGTATCGATCGAGTTTTCGTGCAACGCGAACAAGTCTTAAGAGTCGTGCTGTTTTTAATAAACCAACTAACGACGCTGGCGTCTGCGAATAAATAAAAGTGAATATTGTTAGAATAATACCATTTAAAAGTGTTCGTATTGTGTGCTTTTCATGGACTAAGGCTAGCTGCATTAATCTTTCCTCTAGCTCGGCATTTGGGGATCTTGTTGGTCTCTTCACATAAGGAGACATGCTGTCATGAAGTAAAAACTAGTCTCTTTTGCTTAGTTTTACGGTTGATACAAAACCAGGAAGTTCATCCATACACCGTCCCCTCCCCCTTTCCCCATCCCCTAAAGCCACAACGTAACTGGAACCCAGTGGCCCCAGGCCAATGATAGCAAGCAATATAATTAACCCGCGGGGAGCAGGATAATTAATATGTATATTTAAGGAAAAGAACGCCTTTGTAATGTCCTTTTTTGGTATCTATCAGCCAGAAAATACCAGATATTCCCCGGGAATAGACCTCTGAAGCTTTTACATCGTGTACCGTATAGGCAATGCACTGTAGGACATATTTGGGACAGAAAAAGGTGGATTTCTTTTGTTTTCTCTTGAAACTAATCCCACAATGCATTGAGAATCAAGTAGTGACGTAAAAGGTTCAGAATTCTATTGAGGGCTGAAATTTTATTGGAACTATTTCACACTCGCTTGGATGAACACCAAACAGTAGCTCCAGTTCGAGGGTGGAGTTTCAGCAAAAGGTAAAAATTCAGTCTCGACTTAAAGCCATTGCTTTGTGTTCTTCCAAGTGAGTGTGTTCAAATAAAACCTACCTCTGCGATCTTTTCAGTAACAATCAACTCGAAAGGAATTGCAGCAAAGAAATCCACAATAAACCACGTGGTCAGATAACGTAGAGCAATCTTCTTTGGCTGGCTGACAATCTCGTCATTGTTAGGATCGATGAAAGTTGATCGAAAGTTAATAAATATATCTACAATAAACATAATGTCTACCCAGAGGTTGCATATAGTAAGAGGAGTTATTTCGTCGATAAACCAGAGTGATGATGTGTGCTTGCTGGCGTTTGTGTCACGTTTGGGTGGAGTGAAGGTTACAGAGTACGGAATTTCGATGGCAGTGTAAAARACAAGAATTAAAATGAGCCAGTCCCAAACCGCTTTGAATAAGGAATCATGTCGTATTGTACAGCTGTGGATTTTGGCTTGACCTCCTCGTTGATTGGTCGGGCCGTTCAAGGACATGACCTGTGAAGAATTAGGAAATGATTAGTAAGTTTGTTTTGCACAACTAATTCAGGAATGTCTAAAGATGGTTGACAGAAAAATAGCATGCAAATATTAAGGAATTTGATTGATTGCTTGGTTGATGATTAGGTTCAATGGTGGCATAGTTGGTTGATTTTTTTTTAACTGGTTGTTAGGTTATTTAGATTCGATTAATGTGTTGTATATTTATTGGTTGGTTGGTTGGTTTATAGTTGGTTGGTTTGTTGGTTAATTAGTTGTTGGGATTGGTTGTTGGGATTGGTTGTTGGGATTGGTTGTTTGGTTTGTTGGTTATTTGTTAAGAGACTTATTGATTGGCTGCTCGGCAGTGAGTTACGATTAGCCAGTTCGAATGTCTTTATTTTGTTGCTTGACGACAGGTTTGCTTAATACTATTTGTCTGTTCGTCTGATAAGCTGCGTGAATAAGTATCGCCATACTATACTCCTATGCGCGGACAACGTTGAATCCACCAGCATTCCAACCGGCTGGGTTGTGAGCAAAATATTTATGTTGATTGAGCTAAATAGGTCGGTAAGGATTTAGATCATTGGTAAGCTAGTTACCAGTTACTTTGCATTGCGACTCCGTAGTTGATTGATATTTTCATCATCTACTGAACGTTGGCCGTTTTGATAAATAGATCGATGGATAGATGGCAAGGAAAGTGAAATTAAGAGACAGCAGCAACGAAACAAAATTTTTAAAATAACAAAAAGGAAGCATAAGAAAGCGAACAAATRCAGTTTAAATAATTCATATGGCGATTGAAACAAATCTTGATATTTGTCATATGCATGAATTATAAATTCCATCTTTTCAATTTCTACTGTGAAGATTAAWACACCGTCACTAGTCTAGAGAAGTAATTGCACAAAAGGATTACAGTACTCTGGTGTTTTCATCACAGGAATCGAAAAAAGTCAACTGACATTCCCATTGGCATAAATCGTCTCTCTTACCAGATGTCGAAAATCTTCCCAAAGGGACATTGATATTCAAATTGAAGAGAATGATATCAAGAAACACGCTAGCGCGAGCTGTGGAATTCATAGATTTTGTCGTTGTTAAAACCTGAAAATTCCTCCTTTTACCTTCGACCATAATTGTTTCAATCATTGACTTGGAGAAATTCCAATCCACTAGGTTTACGTAACAACGTCGCATTTAATCAACTCGACTCTTTCCTAATTAAGAGGTTGTGTCGAAATAATTAAAAGTAAACATTTTTTGAGTAAATATGGTTATTGAAGTGTTTTCGAACGACATTTTTGCCCAAGGTTACAAGTGGGATAGACAGATTTAACTAAATAATTCCAGTTATCTTTTAACCACAGTGCCATCACTTAATAGGCAAATTTGCATTCAAAATTCGCCTAAAGCTATTGTAGCTTACAGAGGAAACTTTAACTCATATCAAGAAATGATGATATTATTTGGCAAAATCATGAAAGAAAACCGTACGTAATGTATTGAATAATATTGATTCTTTCATAATTTTTGAATTATTTCTTCTAGTATTTACACAATAGGTTTTTTCGTCCAAAAGTATTGACCTAATTTGTACTATATCTGAACTGGAAAAATATTTTCAAAATACCAGAATCAGTAAAATAATGAAATTATGTTTCGTTCCTAYGAAGACCGTGAATAAATAGAAATCAGACAACAAAAGTTTTCCTCGCAAAATCAAAATTCTGTAATATTAATACATATATCGAGTACTTTGTRCAATATGTGTGACTTAAAAAGCATTCATTTTTTGCAGTAAKTTTKCAATTGAAGTTACATTAAAAACATAARGCGCAAAGAGCCCGATATTTMTAAGGAATACCTTCTAGAAGTTTTGATGTCTTGGGATGAGGCAGTTTGATTCAATAATATTCAAATACTGGACCATATCATGTGAATATCGCTGTGCTTCTATTGTGTCCATTSTCATAGACACCCTGGGGTTCCCGAAATGCACCTGGTACTGAATAAGCTTGAATACGATGAATTTGTGACGGTTCCGTTTGTTTATTTATTGGTATCCGAGACMGGTTAATTTGTCTTGTATTTCTTTATTACTTAATCATTGAAGTTTGCTGAAATGCTCTGTATTTACAGGTTCGCACAGTGGAAACTTGTACTGTCATGTGATCACTAAATGTAGAGTTCAGTCCGTTAAAACTATAATCTCGCCAGAAGTATCGACAATYATSCTTTTCAGCTCCATCAAAATTTATCGATGAAATATTTAAATTGGGTGCGCCTTATAACTTTGAACAATACTCCAGTTTCAAATTCTCTTTTGTRCTAGCTTAGATTCAATCAGTTTTTTTTATTKCCTTCTTTGTATACAGACTATTTTTCATTACAATAGGATTTTTGCTGAATAAAAGAATATCTTACATGCTTTCRAGGTTAAGGCTGCACAAATAAGATCTCGAAACTGGAGTATTGTATTTTTTTATTGTGGCACCACATCGAATAGTCCACGGACATCGACTCTACTGAAATAGCTTTTATACAATAAACAAKTATTTCACGATATTACGACGTTATTATTCATATCACTATATATACACTACCATCATTATTGGTGTTGATTGTATTTTTGCTATTATTCCGTATTCATTTTCTCATCTTTTTTCCTATTTTTTATTTTCCCATCATTTCTTTCCCATTATTTTTTGCTTTCTCATTATTTACTTTCCAATTATTTCATTCCTACTGTTTCCATCCCCTTTATTTCTTTTCCCATTATATTATTCTCTTTCCCATCATTTCATTTCCCATTATTTATTTTCCAAAGTCTTTCTTATTCTTTATCTTCTATTTTCKTAATCTCAAGCTTGACGCAATATTTAACTATGTCATATCGTGTTTATATTTGACCGGTCAGTTGCTTTTAATATTTGCTTTTATGATAAGAGTGTAACAGCGCCATCTCCTTTATTTGTCTGTAATTGAATGTGGATTGATCATAATTCCAAAACGATATCGTTTACGATCTTACATCAACACGAACTCACGGGGTTATTCTGAAACCAATCATCTTATGAAACTCTTGATACARTAAAATATAAAGTATAAAAGTAATGTGCATGAAAGGCTGAAWAAAATATTGTTAAAATCAATAATGTCAAATCAATACGACCATCCGAGTAAGCTTTTGACACGACGCACYGACTCAAACYATAATARTCWCATTTAAATTTTCATTAATCATTTACAAGGTTCTCGTATCCCTCTATCGATAAACGCGTATTCAGATTTCAAGCAAATACGATTTCTAATTTCTGTCGTGTATAGGCTCTTCTTAGTTATACAAACAAAACACAGAAGATTAAAGGAGTTCCGGAGCGAGTGATTTATTCACCTCAAATACTGCTCTCGTCCCACTTCCTTTTCGATCATTTTTCGTGATCTTTTAGCGCTTTTCACGCAGGGAGCAAATATTTGCCATTCGCCAAAGAAAGATCTGTAGGGTTTTTTTTTGCAGTAGATTCCTACCAATTACACTGTAGATGAAATTATCTAAGACGGTAAATAATATGTTCAATCCGTATTAAGCTAAAAACTCTATGATATTGTGTTTTCTTTATTTGAACGTACACGGATATCATTTTAAAGATTTAAATATTTCAGTCTACTTACAGCCTAATGGAAATCCACACAAGGGTGATGGATATGACAATAGTACATGTCTCATTCATTTTTTCAAATCATTTATTCTTTTCCCACTACGCTTCCCCCGATTTGTTCTCTGTGTTATTGCACGTGCGCAAAAAAACTATCCTTCCTCCGGCCACAGATAAACGATATCATGAACTCCTCCGCTACTAATTAAAGAATTCGTATATTTTCTGTTCGCTATGACGTGCTATGATGCATACACCCCGTATAAACTGGAATTCAGTTCTTATAATTCGAAGAATTATTATAGTTGAATACTATTTGACTAAATTAATTGCTTTGTAATTTTAATGTGTTAGTGYGAATCCAAAACGAGTGCTCTGGTGTCAGATTATTAACATTAAACTTGTTTTTGATTAAATGCAATTCAACAAGATTCAATAATACTCTTTACAGGGCTCAAAAGAGCTCAATTGTATTGAAAATAGGGATCTATCTAGGCGATCTCCAGAAGCGTAATCTCAGTATCAAACCTACGCTGTTTGCGAAAAAAACAAACTTTTAAATTCAAACAATTTAAACGAAAGTACACAAATATTGACGACAGTCGCTTAATATTATTTTACAGATATCTTTTATGGACTCCCGACTTCTTTTTCTTGTTGTAATTTAGAAATAATGCAATACCACAATAAAATATTCCATGGTTTTGTTACTAACAGGATTTTATATATATATTAAGCTAGTGTTTGACACTTTGTAAGCTTATTACCTGCTATGTAATAAAAGGACTCTTACGTTTTTTACCCTCGCGATGCCGCAACCACTATATTAAATCCATACATTACACAAGTTCTTGCATTTTAAACAATTGTGCGAATCGTAACTCCGAGAACTTTAAAATCATTTATCAATTAGAAGCGCATGCAACAATGAAATGTCAGTCATATTTATACTTAGGACCGAGGTTATATTGGTTAAGTTTTGATAATATTGTCAAGAGGGTATTGTRAGCCATCACTAAAGAATCAACAAAGGCCAATGTTATTCTTATTTTCGATGCCACTAGGTATTTCATGCGCAGATTCTTTTCCGACGCGCATTCGGAATGACAAACGGTGGTTACCAGATGGTAGTATAATCGTGACATAAAAAGATCCAATTTATATCAAAAACCGATTCATTTGTTCCAATGACTTGATAATTAAGTGAACAAATGGTTGACGTGAAATCTGAGAGACAAACTATCGGTGGAAAAAAACGATTTTCTATGAGATTTTCAGATTTGTTTTTGTCAATGACAGACTATCGAACGAGTTTTGCCTCCAGCGTTCTTCCCTAGCTATCATTGAAGCTCCTAATGAACGCTTTCATGATTAAACAAGGAGGAAAATAAAAAGGAATGACACTATAAAACTGCAATATATCCGTCCATTAAGAAAARTCATACATTCGCACTAAAATCCTACTAACACCACGCAAAACAAAAAACTTACAAGACCGCGTATTCCAATTTCGGGRAAAGCTGAAATATYCACATGGCGCAATCTGTCAGAAGAGGGCATATTTTGTTGTCTTCGGCGTTGCTAAAACGTATCACCATGACTTTTTACAGCACTATGCTACCATCCACTGCACTATCAACATATGTGAATATATCATTGTGACGTCACTTGTGCGGTCTGATTCAAAATACCATGCGCGCGCCGCTTTGTGACGTAYTTATTGATTGATTCGGATATATAGAACCGGCTAAATCAAAAATTCAACCTGYAAAGTAGGGGRAAAAATATTGAGAAACTCTTCATAAACAATTTAGTAGTCGAAATCGTGACACCTAACTGAAAATCCTGTACACAGCTGAAATCAACATATGACGTTGTGGATAAAGACTGCGCACGCACAGCTAAAAYCTTAATTAAGCAGTCAGTAAGGAATTAGCTGACATTCCAGAATCTCATGGAGAGTCAASATTYTAATTTMTAYGTATGCAATTACTTAATCATTTTATTTTCCTTCAAATTGCAAAGAAATTTGACTCTTATTTTGATAATAAACTGGCGGTAAATTGCTGAYCACAGCAGCTCAGGAATCGAGATGAAGCTGGAACCGATCGTACTGAGCCATGCTTTCTATGATCCACCATTTAATGTAGAATTTTCAAAATAACAGAGTTAAAATGTCTATACGGAACTCAATATATTCCATTCAATTTTGTTAGCATGTTTGTGTTGACCGACTGAATCGTGCCATCRAAACTAAGTAATGGTTCTCTGTGTGATATCAATGAATCGTGCTCTGATATTTCATATGATATTCATTTCATCTTGCAATAATCTTGATCTTAAAAAGGTATAGTGTCCAGTTGACAAGCACAAGTCAATGGCCAATGAAGGTCGCCATTACATAAAAAAAGTCAATCTTCAAATGCAGTAAAAAAATCTTCTGTAAAATGACAATTATCTTAAGCGGCAAGTATGCGATACCATGCAGGAATCGTGTATTTAACTATACTCTGCTTGTGGTAATCTATCGAAAAAAAGGTTTTTTGGGATGACATTCCTGCATTATGTATAGCTGATCACAGTTTGCATTAATTAGAATACTRATATGATTTGTTTTCCGAGAGACTTCTTCCGTCGGTAGTATAATCTATTAAGGGATTTTGGAGTCTGAATGGATTCGAATATGAATATTAAAACATTATTGAGMCTCTTGAATGGTCTCTCGCGTCTAGTCTATGGTCTGATAAATGCAAGGTGTAACATTCCGAGAAAATGACTGCAGCCYTTAACTATCCAAAAATGACTTCCTCGCCAGGGACCGCACCTTAACGTAATACTAATATCAATTGCTAATGATAGCCAATTAAATTGTAACCTGCGATATCGTACAGATGAGAATGTTGGGCATCACCATTGGAACAAATATTGCACCATTGCATAAATGCCTGTCTTTAACTAATGCAAAAATATTTTCGCGATTAAAATAAGCTCATCCGAGATGAAAGTCATACCAACTGATCGGCAGACTAATGATGTTTAATCCAACTAGTGAGCAACGAAATAATAGACCTTGGGTGTTTTCATTACAAATCAGATGCCTCTGTGATGTAAAATGGTCCGTTGGTGCACAAGTAAGACGTGACACCGCAAAAAATGACAAGAAACTTACTGACGCCTCGAATTTTTCGATTTTTTTTTTCGACTTAAAAGTCTATTTTGTATATACAGTATAGTAGTAACTTAAATAATAGTAATAACTTACTGACGCCTCGAATTTTAAGTCCGTTTTGTATATACAAAAAGTATAGTAGTCATTGTTTCATGTTATAAGAAAAAAAGACTGATGCAAGCTAAAACATAATACGTTATGCGCTCAATTCTTTGTTGGTTTAAAATGTAAACTGAAGTAAACTGTGCCGGCGGGGCGTACGAGCCAGCCCAGCTAGACACCTTGGCTTTATTTAGCCAGTCCCACTTTCCATAGTGCCTCACTGTACTGCAGAAAACCAGATGTCATCCGTTTCGTTTCTCAGAATTTCCAAACCGCTTCTAGTTTTACTTTTACTGTAATGCCGGTTCTCTTATGTTTAGGTCTATCCCACACTTATTTGCTCCTCCTTTCTCCCATCCATCAAATCCTTTGCGATTTCTTTGATATACTTCTTATAAATCCACTCCGTTCTCAGTTTCCCAATTCAGAGATTTTTGTTTATATTTTCATGACTGCTTTATCCACTTAGACATTCATATATTCTCTATCAAGAGCATCTTTGGTGAAGTGTTAAGAGTCAGTAGTGTTTTTATTTATCGACTAAATTTACTTATTTATTCGCTATTGACTTACATAATTTGTTTATATATTGTATTTGACTGATTTCAGGGATAAATCTTCACAAATGGRYTTTTACCTATCATCAATCATAGCTCCTTTTWAAAGTAATGTTTACAAGAATTACTTCCAGAGCACTCAGTGACTTTAGGCGAGCRCCGAAAATTAATTAGCGATTCCTGCGGAGTAAGATGTTGTGGGTGCTTGACGGAAGGAATTTAAACTGGATGTCGTTARGGTTTATGCATTAACTGATGATCTGAAACCCKAAAAAGTCATCAAGTTTGTAAAAAAGGCACTCTAATTCCTCTTCAATTCTATAGCCACAGCGGCTGTCATAGTAGCGTCAAAAACCATTCTTTCAATTTTTATTTTGTCGACTTCTCTTTATGTCTACCAACAGCGCCATTAGTTTGAGAACCAAGCATAACAAACTTGAGATTCTCAAAAGCACGACCCAAAAGCACCATGGGAAAATGTTTGAAAATTTTGGACAGAATCACTGTGAAACGACTGTTTCATGGAAATGATTCCAAACAAAGACGAGGACTTCGAGATAGTAAGCAGCAAAATAAGTATAAGTATAAGACTGAAAGTATAACAACAATATCAAAACTTAATTTTATAGCTATGGAGCCCCAACCGCGAATAAGGGAGTAATGTGACATTATCAATGTAACGGAAAATAAGAAAAAAATCATTAACATTGTATACTGACTTTATCTATGACATGCAGAGCATCGCAAGCTAAAATATTTGGTATATGTTCACATAGAATGAATAAACGTGTTTATCGCTGGGACTATTGTTTCTAGGCTTGCTTTTTAGTGCTCTCAATGTCCCRCCGTGTTCATATCCGAGCACAGAGAGTTCCGCACCGCCGTTTTATATTTCTTAACTATACAATGTATAAAATGTTACGTTTCTAAGAGATGGACAAGAAGTGACGTCAATCGTTTGTTTTGAGCGCCGGGTTCGCATGTCGAAGCTTTGTTATTCAGATTCATTTGGAAACAGTATTTAAATTACTTACGTTTTTAGTCAACATAGAGTCAAACACTTGAGCATCAGAAAATATAAAGTATTCTAAAATAGAAACATTTTATTTTTTCATATTTAATGAATTTGCTTTAAATTTTTAAATTTTGTCGTTTTTTTCTTTCTACAAAAATATTCTAATCGATTTTGCCTTATTTTCCATATGAATGCTCGGGCGGACGTTAAAATATATTAAGTGGCTTTAATTTATACTCTTTATTTGTGATATGCGGGTTATGTTAGATCTTATCTTTTGCTTTTTTTAGGTGTGAGTTTTGTACACAATTTTAATAAAACATATCCAAAAATAAATAGAAAACGCCACTATGTAAAAAAATTATCATCGGTTGCACTATAGCATCAATATATCACTATATCTCGCAAAGTGCTTGGATTTTACAACGGTTACATGKCCAATATCGTTTAGATACATAGTTTGATAGTCTCTACTTTCCCATGCTTGCAGTACATGGAGGGAAAATTAGCCAATTTATTGATAAAAAAAATTAAAGCTCGATGCAAATTATCACCAATGCTTTTGGCAAACCGATTCAGAATGAAAAATTTAAATAGAATTTTAAAAACTTGATCTTTTGACCCAAAAAAGTAGCAGCCCATCCGTTAGAATTTTATTCTCGTGAAAAGAACTCTCCTTTCCACTCAATTTATTGCGGAAAGAAGGACTTTACTACTCTTAAAAGATATGAAATTAGCTAGAGTCTTCCCTATTATCACGCAACAGCTACAACTACACATARAATAAATTTACCTCTTGAGCGGGAACTTTGCAGAAACTAGTGCAAACCATGTTTTCAGGTTGGGGTTTTTTGGTGAGCGGTCAAAGTGCCGATAACTGATAGATAACAATACCTTAGCGAGCTTTGAGTAGCTTACATTATATAATAGTTTGTTTTAGCTGTTTGATATTGATTGACAGGTCGAAAGCCAATCACATTGCGTCCGACTGATAACAGGTGGCAAAACAAATAATTTTATTTTCTGCCACATTTTGCTATAGTGAATGTTAATGTTCAGAGGGTTTTGATCAGTTTTATTTTGTACTGCTTTCAATCTTCATTAAGCAGTTTAATAACTACTTGGAAATTTTACTTGTCAATGCAGACCTCGACGTAAATGAATCATATGCTATAGAAACCCTCGACTATACCCGGTAATAAGAGATAAGATAAGCAATTGACTATAAAAAAGGAGTTAAAATAAAAGAGAGGATGTTGATGCTAAGATAGACGCGCAGACACGACGAGATACTCAGGAAATTCAAATTCACAAAAGGGCACCATCTGCTTTCAAATTAGCCGAATAAATACATGACACTGTCGTCAATGCAAAAAGTATAAGCCCCCTTAAAGATCTTATAACTTCAAAAACTGAGTTCGAGTTCTCAGGTTAGCAGCTTAATTCTGTTGCCAAGGACTTACTTTTCAACTGACAAGTCAGGTTAACTGTCGGTGAAGACATGTGACGTGCACCAAATGCCATTTTGTTTGATTTTGACTTGAAACTGTAGTCGCAATTAGAGAATTTCATATGACGGGTAATTATTCAAGAAAAAAATGAAAATAAGACGGAGAAGGGGATAAAAGACAATAATTATAAGGAAAGAAGGAAGGTCAAGGTAGAAAAGAAAATCCTTCTGATGAAGACCCAGAAAAAAGTTCCAGATAAAACATCATGAATGAATATTATGATAATAATTCAAGGTATAAGAAAAAATCGACATGAAAATTGAGCCTCATTATTGAGCAAGGCGGGAGGTAAGAAGGAATAAGTTAATCAAACTACGAACTGCACATCCATCTATCGATCTGTTGATTATTTTGCTCTTCTTAATACTGTGAAAGAACAGGTTTGTTCCAAGTCGTTATTTTCCCACTTTACTCGAGGTGGCTGATGGGAATAAGAAAGAAACCGTTACACTCCAATGATGCATTGCGCGTCGCTCCAAAAATCAAAAGAATCGATTGTGTGTGAATCTCATACAACGAGCATGCGTAGTTCACATTATCGATAGCAGAAGTCCAAATAAAGTCAATTACTACTGAACTAAATGCGGTGAAAGAACTAGGCTACTTCTATCCACAAAACAATCTTTACTAAGAATGTCATAACATTGATACTGCTAATATATTGCAATAGAAAACTGTGGAGCATTGCTTTATTGGATTAAAAAATTTAATCAATCGAATTTGCTCATCAATTCTAAAACTAGTCGTTCACAGCCAGAACTGATTTGATAAAATCTTACGATACTCGGTTAAAATCAAGAAAGCAAATAATATATTTATTATTTTTTCAAAGGAACTTATCATGCACACACTAATGTACTTATCATATGAAGATATCATGTGTTAAATAAAATCAGCACCTGAATGACTAAGAGTATCTTCATTGCTAGATACAATATATAGAGGATATTACATGGGCGCGCGGAGATACGGATTTTATCTTAGTGTGTTGAAAAGATCTCTCACGAGTGAGCGTAGCGGACGACTGAGAGATTTTCAACTCAAGAAGATAAAACTCGTATCTCCAAGCGACCATGTAATATTCTGTTTATCATATGAAGTAAGAAAAAGGTAAATTACGACATAATTTGCTTTCATATGTAATTATATGATAAACAGAATATYACATGGTCGCTTGGAGATACGAAAATAACATGTTTTTTTCACTAGTGAAAGTATCAACTTTACGAAATGAAAAAAATATATATAGGTATTTCATAGATAATTATATGATAAAAGGGATTCATACATACAGTATCATACATTGCTAGATTCATACATACATACATTCATACATACATTGCTAGATAGTTTCTACTGATTTGATATTGCTTAGTGCAAACTGAATTCACCCAGGCATTGGTTCTACTGGCTAGTCTCAAAGTAATCTTAGCTCAAAGTAATCTGCTAACAGACGTAACCTCAGCATCCAAGTATAGGATTTATTTMTTTTGTGCAAGTCAGCAAAAAGTCAAGAAACGGTGATATGATTGATATATGACATCTCTAAACCCCGGTAACTACCATCAGTAGGTAAGACACGGGCTTTCATTTCTTGACAGTACTGTTTTGACAGTATAATACTTRATTTTTGCTATTGTTGTTGTTGTTTTTTTCCATGGCTGCCATGGTAATGTAATTACAACAAGAAATAAAGAATAAAAGAATATGACATTATGTAAATAACAGTAGAAGTTAATGAGAAATCTTTCGTTTGTTGAACATCAATATGGCCGCTGCGGCATGTCGTGTGCGAAATATTGTTAAAAATAAAAAATAAAACSAAACGAAATATATAAAAATTCATCGTTCTTGAAATCGATTACGTAAAAGTCACTTTGAATGTTGAAATGATTGCACTTTTGAGCTAACTTGAGTTGTCTTTTTCAATTAATGTCAAATTTATAAGCTCAGTGACATTGAATAATTCAAATTACTTCGCAACGTTAAACATATGGATTGTTGAATTCAAAACATACCTAAAGTAATAATATAGTAATTTTGAAAGCCAAACTAAAATTGATACTATGATTCTATGGGAATATAACAAATGGTGCATCACAAGCAATATATAAACAAACAATTCATTATGATATTTCTCCTTGAAACAAAGACGGACATGTATATTTGTCGTTAAGTGATATGTGGAAGCGCCTAAGAAATCGATTGAGCATTGCAACAAATTGTAACGCGATTTCTTATAACCACAAGATGGGCGTAAGACGATCAAGGTAATCACAAGAATATTCTTATCGTAATACTATTATATRAAATTCTAAAAAAATAAAATAAAAATTTCATATTCGTTATCGCTATCTTTACAAAATACTTATCGGGTGCACTTACCACCTCTAGTGTTGGGCGYCTTAAATGTGAACGCTTCATTTCAATGCAGAAGTGTCAAAAGATAATTGATACTTTTTTTATAAAAACTTGTCTTCAACAAGCATTTCTCGTGCCGAATTGTTCACAACATCTGTAACGGTCTTGAGCCGTCAGCCGGTGCTCTTAATATAGATMGTTCTCTGTTAGAACTAGAATCACGATGTGTCATTTTCACCATCCAATAGAAATTCAGCAAAAGTCGTAATTATCGTATAAAGAATACAGCAGGTCTGAAATCTAATTGGTTGATATAATATTTGAATCCACGATAAATAAAGGAGAAATCTTGCATAGTATCGGATATCATGAAGAGAAGGTGTGTCGTAACTATGATAAATCAGAAATTATTTCATTATTTCAACCTGATATTCTTATTGTTGTGAATTTGTGAGAGCCATCATTGCTCGCTTTAAATATTTAATGCAAATTTTGTGGTTTTATTAATCTTTATTTAGAAAACAAGGCTTCTGTTTACAGTGCTTCCTTGAAGTAATGAAATGATGGAAATCCTTGTTTTCACTAGAAGAGCACGTATTTAAGAAAACATTTCCTCTTCAACGCCGCAATACAAGTGAAACTGCTGCACAAGGAAGCTAAATAGATCGACTTTATGTAGGCAATTGTTTCTGGAAGACCGATTATTGGAAATACTCGATTAACGAACGTTCATCACGAAAATTATCAAAATAGTTATTATGAATCATTATTATCGTCGTGCAGTCTTCATTTTCCAGTACAACTCAGGACAAAACTGAAGATATTTTGATATCAGCCATGATGTCTTATAACCTCATTCATAGGAATGTCACACATGTACCTTCTTATTGACAAAACTAAAACACTACAAATATAATGTAAGGCTTAAATTATGAACACATTGTCGAGTTACAAATCTAATAWTTTTATAAAGGAAATAAGGAAACGACAGTCTAATTCTGAAGTCTTGATATTAAACTAAAATATTATCAGCCCAGTCGTGTCTTGACTCAGAAATTTCTATATTTCGTAAGCTATTTTTATATATTTTCTTGTTTGTGGTAAAATGCTCCTTGGTTTTTAAAATTTYACATMTAATCAGATTTAAAAACAAYTGATCGAATTGTAAAGACATGAGCAACATTCCTTTTCTGTGCGCAAATAATTTAATCTGTTCTGATTGTCTTMATTTGTCAAGCAAAATATCTTTACTCCGTCGATTTTAACGAGAGAAAGGTGGGACTGTTTTCAAGCAGTTGTTCTCTAGATATCTTTCATCCTATTCGATTAGTTTAAAACGCTAAAATTATATATTATATAACCGAAATCATAATACATCCTTATCATRCTACTGAAAATGAGCTCATAGTCAGGAAAAATCTTCATTTTTATAAAATAGTGTTTGTTCTTACCTCGAAAGCACAGCATGCAACTGAGACACGACAGGACAACAGTTGAKATAACGACGATTAATTTTAGTAAATAGAGTCGTTGCAGTATGTCATTGAAACCGTTATTCAATCTTTATTGTTTTGAGTCTACGCGATGTTTTCTGTGTAAAAAGTTGTCAATAAAATCATCAAATATTTATGCACGCTCGCGGTTTATAGACCAGTAGATACTGAAAAAGTTGTCCCGTGATATGGTAAAACACTTTAGAAAACGAAGCTCATTTATAGAGTTCTACATTTAAGGCTTGTAGACAAATGTTAAGCATTTAGTGGATTGAAAACATGATTATTAACTTTAAACTGATCAATATTATTCCACTTGTCTTAATTACAAATTCAAAACTCAAATCGTTTTAGTGCACGCGTTGCACGCATTTGTTTCGAAAAGTAATCCATATTTTTTTTAGTTGCCGTGAAATTATCTTAATGCCACACCTATGACCATAAACAAGTCAGTCGGAAAATTTTACTGCCGTCTAACTTTGAAAAAAATTATATTTGTAGAAAATTACTTAATCGGGCAATTTTAAAGTTTCATGATTATGTAAATTAGCACTTAGAGAGTGAGGAAGAGGTCCTATTCGTACTTGTAGTAAAATGACTCTCATTCATTTACACGTCGAGAAATAACAAGTTACAACCAGCTGTTTTTCTTATCATTTGGAAGTACGGTATTACGTCATAGCCGCCATTTTGGATCAGCACATTTGAAAACATTCCCAGCATTCACAGTGATCTTAAAATACGCAAAGTATTGTGGTCTTGGCAGTAAAAAGACGAAAAATATCTTCCTGTCGTTCTCTTCATCAAACATAGCGTTCATTGCTTTTTCTCGAGGCATCATGGTTTTCAACTATTTTCATGTGCTACAGAACGCTTTTGCAATTTCAACGAGAATCCTAGAGAACTATTTGCAATGAACTGTGGAAATGTGCCTGAACCCGCGATCACTATCTAGCCTATTATCAAGACCGGTGAACATTTACTACATTCGATCGACAGTATTAAGCTTAGTTTCGAAACCTTCAAACAAGATTTTAACAATGTTGGCGGTACCTTTTTCTGATGACTCTTCGTCGTTTTTGAAGCTTTGCAATACTAGCGCTGTTAATGTCGTCTAGCTTTTGAAATAACAACTGCATGGAACAGRGGATGGTACATGTATCATAGATTGCTGACCTAAAAAAAATTAAGACAAACGCCGTTAACTTTTGTTTTTGCAACTCGGGTCGCGTAGCAGTTTTTCATCTTAAGTAAGAGCACCCGTGTAAAAACTGAAAAAAACTATATTGCTATGAAGCATAAATTATGTAGTTATCGTTGTTTGTTTTTCGGTCTGTTGGATCAATTTTTTACAAGAACCGAACGGTTTAGGGAACATTGACCGAGTATTAAGAATTGTAAAGTTAAAGAAACTGTTATTTGACTCTTTTAGAATTTTTTTGCCATGTGAGTAAAGAATCTTTGAAATACTTCTCTTTTTTTCAAATCATAATTGTTTAGATTTCATTAGATTTCTATAGGCTAAATAAGGGAATCAAAGCCGAAATCATGAAATTCCAGTCGATAAAATCTATGAATTGAATTTCTATCTGTAACACACAACGATTCCCGCGGAACTACTTACAATTACAATTCAAATATCATGAATTGAAGTAATGATTTTAGCTATCATTYAAAAGTGTTCGTTACTTACATGCCAATTAGATACGTCGATATATGACATTGAATCAGACACCAATCCTACATTGACATACCTCTTATAGCAGAGTGAGCAAACCACGGCGTCTCCTTAAACTATCACTTCAAACCTCTGTGTTTATCGCGCTGTCATCACAAGAAATCCCTTCAATGAAGTCTTGATGTTCGAGTCTTGATGTTCGGTCAAGACCAATTAAATCAGGTTTACAGACCGCAACGCGGCGCACTGCGGTAATTATTTATCTCATACACTATGAAGTAATCACCAGTACATACTCACAGGTTAGTCAATTAGTGCTACCTATAAACTGGATTATAAATATCAGTCTACCTGGTATTATTAGGTCTATAGCTGCCTACAGCTCATGATAATAGACATAAACAGCATGATATAAGAATTATAAAAACACATAAACAATTTCATTCTAAATAACTGACCRCGATTTTCTTTAATATTTTATAATGGAATTTTTCGCCGTGTAGGTCGAATAACCTCTAAAATAGAATGSGAAATTTCCCGATAATTATGATTCCTCTTAATTCTCCGCGATCCGATTTAGAAACATATCACGATTAGTTMTAACTCTTTACCACTGAAAAATGTAAAAATTAAAATAATTAACTTAAGGTTAGAAAGTGGTAAGTTAAAAAAACACATGTATAAGTATTATAACGATAGAAATTAAATTAGATGTTCTTACAATAAATTTAGTTTTATTTTCAAAAATTTTATGTTTTCATAGTCAGTTGCGCAAAGTTCAACGCAGGTGAATTCTGACAAAATCCATTAAACTATCAGTATCAGGTAGGGTCACACATCTTGCATAATTCTCTCGCTTGTCTTTATTGAGCTGTTTGATATCACAGTACTCAGTGCTCTTGATAAAGGACCGCCTAAGGAGAGATGCTCGATTCACGACTAAATATAGATCGATCAAGCMATTGTTATGAAATTGTAGCTAAATAGTATCATCTTTTGTTCCATTCGTCTTTTAGAAMTGTTTGGCTAAACATTTTTTCATCATTCTACAACTTACAAATCGATCCAGTTAGTTCATTACGCAGTAGTACAAATTACATCGCATTTTAATCTATCACATTTTAAATTTTTCATATATGCTAAATTAAAGATTGCCTTAAAGTGGACCACTGAAGTTGTTGTTTTTTTCGACCATAACTTTCATTTTCTTTTAAGTTATTTATATTTTTTAATCTATGCTTATTTACTTGACTATGACCATTTATAGAAAAATAGATTTTTCAGCTTATCGTCGTTATCATGCCGACGGTTAACATATTTTGAGATGTTTTTCCCAAATATTTGTTTAAAAAACATAACACACCTGTACAAGCAATACATGAAACCATTAGCTACATATTATTACAAAACACAAACTATTTCAAAGAAAATCAATCTGGTTTGATTTCAAATAATGCACATAAGTATTACAATAAATTACCTCAAAATTGGTAATGTTTTGAAGTGTTTGATTTTTTTACCTCATTTTTAGGTTTCATGGGATGGACTTTGTCATCCAGTTTGATCTAATTTATCATAATGTTTTTCTTTTGCCTATAATTCTGCCTAACAATATCATGATAGAAACTCTTCAAGGATGTCATTTGCACATACTATCAGCTACCAAAAACACATGCAAACATTAATCAATAAACATGAATTTCAGAAATAAAAGCAGACATATTGATTCACACAATAATATTGTATTATTACAATGAGTTTTTTTAAAGTATTACACAAAAGTTCAATATAACACAAGTATTCAACTCAGTACAGTTTTAGAATTACAAATACAAAATTTATTTATTTTAGGCACAGATAACAGTCCATTTGGATGAGAGATATGCCATATTGGAATGTCCAAGCAAACTTCTACCCCCTCCCCTCCCCCCAAATCCTTTCATAACCCCTCATCCTGAATTGTTTAAGATATGCCATTGTTCCCMCAACCAATGTTACTATCACACAAAAGGCTCACTTCCCATTTACAGGTGACTTCAAACGCTTTGCTGAGGGGGGTGCWGTRGGGTCTTCTGGTTGCTCCACTAGTTTATTATGGACGTCCATTAGACCTTTGAAGTATTTAACAGTTCGTACCTTCAGTTCCATAGTGGCATCTTCGTCCGTCACAAAGATAGTTCTAGGGTGAAGCTGAAAGGCAGATACTGTAAACATGTGATTGACACCTTCCTCTATGCTATGACGTAATGCATATGCTTTGGCCACACCYGTGATAAGGATCATCACCTGAAATCAACATTATAACATTCTTAGTAGAAAGCCTTTCACTTCCTATTACTGACCATAGACTCAGTCTCAGGATTCCTGTGSTGTTTGATAAGAGAGGGGGCTGGGATACRTACCTCATGYGCATCCATGACTGTRTCAACACCAACAGTGAGAGCCATCTTGGGAACTTTGTTGATGTCATTGTCAAAGAAYCGTGCATTTGCTACTATTGTTTCTTTGGCAAGACTTTTAACRCGAGTTCGAGACTTGAGAGATGATCCAGGTTCATTGAATGCAATGTGACCATCAGGACCAATACCTAAACAAAAYAATAAAGTAATGAAGACAGACAAACGGATATGTAACAGTTTTAAGAATTATTTTCATTTAATCTTTTTTAATCATTCAATCATCTGTCCAGTTGATTATGTCATTCATTTAAACATTCCTTTGTGATCAACACAAATCCATTTACTTGTAATTAATTAAAGCTTCAATACTTYTACGTCCAAGTATTCAATTGAACTAAAACCAGACCAAATTAAAACACAGTGGAGCTGTTTTTAAGCTTTTATACATTAAGCCTTTCATAATGTTCACGCTCCTACAGTATACATTAGACAAAAGAAATTAATTCATATTAATGCCTTCCATTTTTTTGTGACTGTAATATAAAGTTTTAAATTTGTTAAATTTGTGTTTGAACACTAACCTCCTACAAACAAATCAACTCCCCCAGCATCCTTTATCTTCCTTTCAAATTCATCACACTCCTTGGTAAGGTCTTTAGCATTMCCATCCAGTACATTGGCATGTTCTGGGTCAATATCAATATGCTTGAAAAAGTTTTCCCACATGTAAGAGTGATAGCTTTCTGGATGATCCCTTGGCAGGCCTACATACTCATCCATATTGAAGGTTATCACRTACTTGAAAGACAGTTCACCCTTCTTGTGAAACTCTACCAGCTTCTTGTACATTCCCATTGGGGTCCCACCTAAAACAGATTACACAATTGTATCACTGCAACAAATTTTAGCATTATGATCAGCATTAAACCAGATAGATAGACCTGGGTATAGTACCTGTTGGAAGCCCAAGAACAAAGTAATTCCCAGGTCCTGGTTTCTTCTGTAGAATTCTATTTCTAACAAACTTGGCAGCCCACTCTGATACATCAGTGGCTGTGTCTAGAATTACCAAACGCATGTCTCTGAAATATAATACATTATTTTCAAAAATTATCAAATTATCTGCATAGAAAAATACATAATTATGCTAATCATGCACAGAACATGCAATATAGAAATTGGATGGAATGGAAGGGAACAGAATGGGAAATGCATTCTAAATATAACAGGGTACAAGCAGAATACCTCACCATTTTATGAATATCATTCAAATCTATTGAATTCTATGTCATTTTTAAAAGAGCAGGCATGCAAAATTCTATTTTGTGGGGTATTCTAAAATTACTCCTGGAACAGATTGTCCAGATATGTAATAGGTTGGTAAATATTTAATGGGATAGAAAATAATAGGCAGAATGCAACAGAAAGAAGTTAAAGAAAGGTATACAGCATTTAGAAACTTAAGAGCTCCTTTTAACCGGAAAGACATTCAGTAAGGAAGTTCATGATCTATATTTTTTTAGTAAGCTTAGAAAAAGTCTCAATCATCAGTCACAACACTGTTATACAGACACAATAAAACAATCGATGTGGGGCGATTTTCACATGAGCAATCAACTATAAAGAAGTCTATCGTCCTTCGTCTACACACCATGTAAAATATCGAGAAGAGCAGACAATGAACTATTAATGGTTATTATACATGGTTTTTATAAGAGATCATGTTTACAAATACTTACAACAGAAAACTGAAACGACCAACAAACTCAAATTTCTACACTGTCCCAGGCACCGGGTACTCGTGACAGAAGCCACGTGACATACTCGAACACAAAGGAAACCCAAATCAGTAACATATCAATCGCTTCTTTTATACATTTTAATATTCTTTTATATTATTTCTTTAAGGTTTATTAGAAATTTATTTACACAGAAACTTCAAAATTTGTGAAAAGGACAATGTTAAATGTGTTTTTTCATGGACAGAGCCTGCGCTTCTGCAAAGCAGCGGTGAGTAGTTAACCACGTGTTTGGTTGTCAGCGGCTTTCAACATGAGAAGCAAGAGAGCGCCAAAACAAAGTCGTTGCTAAAATGGGTATTCGTCCGGCCACTTTTCCTGTAGTTTTCGGTGGTGCTTTGGCTCTAATAACAATTGGATTTTACAACAGGCACAGGTTTGTAACAAAGACTGAAGATCAGCAAGAACGCTGGGAGCAGAGTCAACAACAAGCGAGAGATTTCCAAGCGAAAATGAAGACAAGTTTAGAAGAAAAGAAGAAATCGTCCAATTAGAACAAGATATTTGATGGGATATTTGATGAATACTTTTAAATCTGTGTGGATATTTTCTTTGTGTACTGTTTTAAGATGTGATAGTTAAAGATGATATGAGAATTTTGCGTAAACAAGAGCTATACATGACAGAAATTCGTGGTGTTTATATTTTGTTAATATCTCGTGGAAATTTATTATACGAATTCAAGCTTAAATGAAGGGGAAACTTCCCCAACCAAAGCCACCTTTAACAAGACGAAGGCCAAGGAAATCAAGTGAACCAAAAAAGTCCATCAAGAGCAGTAATTCCACTGATGATAGTGGCAGTGAAAATCTACAGCAAAATAACATAAAAACACTTAGCCCAAAATCAAAATGCTTTAAAACAAAACCAATTTTGACTAACTTAGCTAAGCCAAGCACTAGTGGTAGTGTTCAAAAATCAGCTTTTGATTACGACTCAGATGGTGACTCGCTTGAAAGTGCAGAGCCGCAAGATAGTAAAAGAGGAGTGCAATTGAAAAGAAAGTGGTCTTCAAGTCAAGATGAAAGTTCGAGTGATAATAAGTCAAGATATAAAAAGTCACAACTTGCTTTGAAGAATGTAAATACTGATAATAATGGTAAGAAGAGGAAGGTACCGAAGTCATTAAGGACAAGTGATTTGACCTCTGATGAAGCAGATTTCAGTGATAAACTTATAAAGAAACCGTGTTTGTCTGTGCCTTGCAAGGGAGCAGACGTTGTTAGCAAAGATGTTAAAGCAAAAGTGGGAAAGAATAACATACTGAAGTTAAAAAGAAATAAGACCACACAAAAAACAACTACAACTGTTGTTGATGGAGCAGTACATGCAGCAGACAGCAACAAAGAAGTTGAACTTGAACAGGGACAGCATGATGAACAAACTAATAATTCATCTCTCAATAACAATAAATCTAATGTAGAGGAGAATAATCAAGAGTCTTTGAACCAACAAACATGTAAAGATGTGAAGGAAGAGATGAAATGCCCTGTTTGCAAAAAAGTGTTTGATACTTCTGAAGAATTGACAGCTGTCAATCAGCATGTGAATAATTGCATTGACAGCCAAACTGAGGATGAAACTGATATCCAAAGTACTGAACGAAGTGGCAACACTGCACAAAGTTCACTAAGCCTTCTACAGGACAAGCTGCTAGCATTTGAATATCAAAACAAAAAGAATTCAAATACTGATATAGAAGGTGAAGAGGATATGTTCTTTTGTCAGATCTGTCAGAAAGATTTATCCAAAATGAACACACAGCGAAGGACACAACACATGAACAAATGCTGTGACAAAATTGAAAGTGTTGAAGGGAATCAAGGAACACAAGATTCATCAGCCATGGAAGCATCTAATGTTAGGACTTGCTTTCCGTGTCCATTTTGTTCTTTGGAGATGAAATCTAAAAAGGTACATACAAATACATGAAAAGTTTATACCGTAGTATATAATATGCTTGTACTTTGCATAGCATGTTTATTACAAAGAACAAAAGATTTAACATATTTAAGTTTAGTAACTGCTAGTGTAAATAGTCTATTAATTAAACCAAAATTGTTTGGTTTTCAGAGTTTATTGCTGCATATTAAAAAGTGTGCACAAAAACATAATGTCCCAACAACTCAATTATTGGAAATTAAAAAGCAAGTACAAGAAATGGATTCTGTAACTAAAAATGAAGCGAGCAATAATCCAGTACAACCAAAAAAGAGGAAAAATATCAAACAGAATTTAAGGTGAATAACAAATGTTTCTTGTATGTTTGTGTATGTATATCCATGTGCTGCAGATGTTACATAATTGCTCTAGTCTAGCATATTTAGTATGATTTTGCAACCACACTGACTACAGCATGAAAAGTGCACAAAATGATCAACAGAATCTTGCTTGGTATTGACACCTTAACATTAATTTGAAAAAAAATCATGACCGTATAGTACACGTTATTTTATGTTTGTAAGAAATATGTTTGTATATATGGTAAGTGTATAATTCTTATATGACTAATGTATTGCCTCCAGAGGTGTTGATGAAGACACACAGTTGGCCTTAGCCATGTCTGCATCAATGGCTCCACCCTCTGTACCAGATGATGATGGTTTGGTGAAGAAACAGAAAAGAAAAAGAAATAAAGGGTAAACAAATTCATTCTTTTTGAAATATATCCAATAACATTTTAAGCTTTTGAGCTATGACAGAACAGGCAAAAATTGTAAAATAGTGATTTCAATTATGGATAGTAAAGTACAAATTTTAACAAGATTTTTAAAGCTGTTGTAAATCTTATGAAAATTCTTCATTTGTGATAGTAGTAGTACATTGTGCATGATTTAATATGAAAACTTTTTCAACAAAGAAATGAGGTTATACCTGCCTTGTTGTTGAGAAGTCAAAAAGAAACCAATGAAGTGATAGCAGCAAGAGCAGCTGAAGTTGTGTGCACAAAGGTAAATAATGATTAAACTTAATAAAATAGTTTTTATTTTGAATGTTGCATGACTTGATTAACATTAATCCAGGTCTGACTCCTTAAGTTAAGAATTAACTTTAGGATTTATACAATGCACTAATCTGGCTTTGAACAGTTCTACATGTAGGGCCTGAATGACATCTCCATGCATAAGTTATGTACAGTCATACATTATCAAAATGTTTTACAGAATGATGATTCAGATGATGACGACATTTCCTGTACACCAGCTCTTGCACCAAGTTCATTGGCTCAGAGATTTGTAGAAGTAGCAAAAGCAAATGAAGAGTTATCATCCATGGGAAATACATCAAGTAACTTGCCTCAGGATAAGGTATTGTAGCCATTTTGTACATAAGACTCTAGATTTACACTAATACAAGTCAGACTTTTTTTGGAATAGATAACAGATAGTTTATTACATGTACTTCAAATAATAATCTCAAAAATGAAAGGAAATTTTGAGAATTGAGCAAAATATTTCAGGGGGCTTAGAGGACTTTGTGCAAGTCCAGTTGGAGAACTTTGAAAGAATGCAGAAGGTTGAAGTAGTTTTTGAGACTGGACCAGTTGTTTGATCAGGTTCAAATTGTGATTTAGAGCTTGAATCAACATTTTTTAGCAAAAGGATGGCTGTCATATAATACAGTTTCATTATTTTATGAAAGTCAAACTTTTCCTGTATGTTCATATTAAATGTCTTACTAGGTGTCAAAGGATACATCTGTTTCTTTAAATTCTGCTTCAAGAACTGACACCAATGAACCTGCAAATGAACAGCAAAGAGGAAGCAATACAACATCAGCAGATATCCCAGTTATCTCATTGGCTGAAATAAAAGACAACTATGAGATGTGTCAATCATTCCTCAGCTTTCTCGACGTTGATGACRAAATTGATGATACCACAGAGAGTAAGAAAAATACGTCGAAAGAAATGGGCTACCTGTGGTCTTTGGCATCATTGAACATTGAAGAAAGCTCCAAATATAGCTTCTATGTTCCAGGACTCTTACCAGTGTGCTCTCCAAAGCGTCCAAGAGCAAAGACACCAAGGAAACTCTCCAATAGAAGTGGAAAATCGCCATTAAATCTCAAACAAATTGAAGATAAAAATTGCACAAAGTCAACAGTACAGAATAAAGATGTTTTACAAAACTTAGAAGACAAGCCACTGGGTACACCAAAGGACAATTCCAGTTCAAATTTATGCGAGACGGACACTGCCTCTCAAGCTATCAATGTAGATATTTTGCTTGAGTTAGCAGAAAGTAGTGATGAAGAAGACTCAACACAACCAATAAACAGTTCTTGTGACTTCGGTGATGTCTTGCCATCTTCTGGTTTTTGTGTTCCAATACCTTCTTCAGTTCAAGCTGATAAGGTAAGCAAATGAACCTAATGTACAGTTGCATTACAGTATTAACACAATCCATTTGTAATTTAGTAATCAAAATTTTAGACAGTCTCAGTTGATTAGTAAGTTTTTAAAAGACTTTGCATTCTTTAGACTTCCCAGTTAATGGAAAAAAAGTTTAAAAAAAAATTGTGAAGACGGGGGTTAAGAGTGATGATTTAGTGGAAGTGGACTATTGTTTGTTCAAGTATTTATAAATGTGGTCGATAAATCTGCTCGTTTTTCTTTAGATCGATGCGTCGCCATCTCCCAGCGTTAACAAGTTGCTTAAAGACCTGTCTAACATGGTTGGCAATTCTTTACTAAGTGACGTCACCATAGTAACCGAGGGCAACCAAACAATCCCTGCTCACTCTTTTATGTTAGCCTCAAGATGTGAAGTTTTAGCTGATGTAAGTTACTCCAAGTCTTAGCATTTAAAAGAGTAGTTGGCTTCCGTATGATTTGTCTCATCAAGTGGTAAATGGTAGCTGCTGAGTAGGAATACACTTTGTAGCACGATTTTTCCGAAAATGGGAAGAATCTGACGAGATCTGCTGCATGCATTGCCACCTCAAATAGTTAAACCTCAAATCTCATTGCATTTGATGCGATTGTAATTACGATTATTGAA